TCTTCATCTGTTCTCTATATATATATATATATATATTGCTTTTCCATAAATCTTATAAAATTAAGAATTAATCATTATTTTAATTTACATATACTTAGTTCTTATATTTATAAACAATGAATATCTAAATTTTAATATTAATTTATATAAAATTTCACAATTTTAACCACATTAGAATGTATTTTGAAGATTAAAATATTAATATTATTTATTTTATTATTACGACATTAAAATTTTGAATATTATAGAAAAAAAGGCTATATTTATAAATACATAAAAATAATGGGGTGGAATCTAATCTCTATTTTTAGAATATTAATATAAATGAGATTAAGATAAAAATTATTTAATGGAGGCGGGAAGGGAGACGGCGTGTCTGACGGAACCATATGACGGTTGATCGTTAGTGGGGCCGAAAGACCCGGGAAATTGAGCGCGAAACGGCGTAAGACGTGGCACGTGGGCATAGGGTAATATGACTAGCTTGCCCTTGAACTTCACTTTTATTTACAGAATGCCACTAAAAATGAATATCATAAGCATTTAAATGATATACATAATTTGTGGTAGTTTCTATAGATGAATTATAAAATTATTTGAATATATAAGAGGAAATTAATGTTGTCTCCATGAATGTGTATTGGTCAATAATACAAATTTGGGCCAAAACCCCCCACTTTGTGACCTTAAATTGAGAGGGTTGCTCTTAATTTCACTTGAACACCCATGAATAGAGCCTCTCTTTAAGCAATATTGCTCAGTGTTGCCTTTGCACCTTTCAGTAGCATTAAGTGCAAGATCTTTCCTCACTTCTGTGAGGAAATGTTGTATCAAGTTACTGTAGGTGCAGATTGGTGATATTCAAATAATATTATGGTGATATTACGATATAATATCATCACAAATACCTCCTGAATACTATCGTATGTGTGCATATAAGTAATGTAAAGGAGTGCTCTATGAGGAGAAAATATTACGGCCAGTATACCTGACTTGCGGTCAACATAGTGGAACACACTACGCCATCAAACAGAAAGCGTGGTGTGATCGAACCAAGTCGCCAGCTGCATGTCCGGGTGACGAACATAACATTTTGTTTTCTATGAGAGAAGAGAGAAGAAAAATTTTATGGGGGTTACATGACAATTATTACATCTTTCGCACCCCATAGATAACAACTTAATCATGCCTTATCATACAACTAGGGCTCTAAACGAGCCGACCTTGAGCGAGGTCAGACTTGACTCGTGTTCGGCTCGTTTGAAATAACTCGTGTTCGAAATCAGCTCGTGAACAGTGTGTTCGTGTTCGACTCGATTTAAATATTCATGTTCGTGTTCGGCTCGAAATTGACTCGTTAAACTAAAACATGAGCGAACAAACTGTTGTTCGTATTCGGCTCGTTTACATTTCAAGCATAAAAATTTGTTCTTATTCGGCTCGTTAGGCTTAATGAACGAGCCAAACACGAGTTGTTCGCGAAAAAAGAGCTCATGAGCGAACAAACTGTTGTTCGTATTCGGCTCGTTTACATTTTGAGTTTAAAAATTTGTTCGTGTTCAGCTCGTTAGGCTTAACGAACGAGCCGAACACGAGCTGTTCACGAACAACGAGCCAAATTGACAGCCCTACATACAACTATAGCATGGACTAAATTCTTTTGCACTATTTATAGTAAGCCAACTCAAGAGTTTTGTATTTTTATATGAGAGTGATGGCATCTATTTTTAGGAGATATATTAGAAAATTAAATGATTAATACCCTTATAATTTTCTTAAAATTCCTATGTAGATGAAATATAAGCACAATTTTTATTGAAATTAATTAAAAATATTTTTTTAATTTATTTTTAAGTTATCCCTTGCTTTTAGTTTGATCATGAAATAGTGATGCTTTACATGGAATTTCACTGATGTGCTGTCCAAATGGGGGAATCTTTAGTAAGCAACATATATAAAGTTTATTTTAAAAATGTTTATTTATTTAATTTTGTATTGGTATATATATTTACTAGTTAACTACTCTCCATTTTTTTTTAATTATAATTAATATTGTTAAAATTATGGAAAATTGTAAGAAAAAATATGAAGAAAATTAAGTTCAAATATTTTGATCAAAATTTAATTGAATTAAGGGAAAATTATATAAATAACATATAATTCCTATGTATTTACATATATAAAATCCAAAGGTTGGTATTTATATTTATAATAATTTAATGTTATATACTTATGCATGAAAATATGTATTTTGTTTCAAAAGTTTAGAAAGCTTGGTATTTTTTATGGGATATAAGAGATATTGGTACATACATGTAAATATTTAAGTTTGTGTTATAAAGGTAAGAAATATAGGAATTTATTGGTATGTACGTAAATTCCACACATCCACCAACATATCCTCTAACACAAACACAACCACACACCAACCATCACCTCCACACATCCACCCAACACATCCTCTGTTACAAACTCAATCATACACTAACCACCACCTCCACACACAAACCAACGTACACCACCACCTCTACATCCACAACATTGTTATCAACAAATCAAGCTCCCTCTTTCAGTATTTTCTCAAATTCTGTGCTAAACATCAAAGGTAAGGATAAACCCCACCCCATATTTTTTATTTGATGAAAATTCCATACAGGGCACCTGAAACATTGCTATCAACAAATCAAGCACAATTTTTCAACATTTTTTCAAATTCTTTGTCAAACATCGAAGGTAACAATAAAACCTCACCCTATATTTTTCATTTGATTCAATTCCATACAGATCACCTGAAACATTGTTATCAACAAATTAAGCACCCCCTTTCAGCCATTTCAAATTATCTTTCGAACATCAAAGGTAAAAATAACCCCCCTCCCAATTTTATCATTTGATGCAATTACATATAGCGCGCCTGAAACATTGCTTTCAACAAATCAAACACCATCTTTTAACCATTTCTCAAATTCTCATTCAAACATCAAAGGTATAGATAAAATCTCATGCAATATTTTTCATTTGAAGCTACCACATACAGTGCACCTGAAACATTGTTATCAACACATCAAGCACCCCCTTTCAGCCACTTTGCAAATTCACAATCAAACATCAAAGGTAAAGATAAAACCCCATTCCATATCACATTTAACCACAAAATCATAAAATTCAAATTCCAAATCATAAAGAGAAAGCCACAAATCATATAATCCAAGTTCTCACTTCAAATTGTAAATGAGAAAGCCGAAAATAGAAAAATCCATATTCTCAATTTAAACCGCAAATGAGAAAGCCATAAATCACAAAGAGAAAGCCATTCCATTGAAAAAAATAGGTGTTACTATGGGAGGACAGAGGGCACAGTAAATAGACAGGGAGCCGGAGATCGCAGGTTAGAGGGAGAGGAGAGAGACAACCCATTGCCACCAGAGATTGGAGGGAAAGGAGAAAGGCAACCCATTGCCATTGGAGAGAGGCTTAAGAAAGCAATGATTGAGAGAGGCGCGACCTAGGGCAGAAGAAACACAAGAGAGACGACAACAGTGAGAGGGGCATATGAGTAATAGCTTTGCGAAGAAACGAGGGTCGCAGGCTCAAACCTATGACACACATTTAACATAAC